AGTGGGATGATCTTAGCAATTAAGCCCCATGGCTTAAATAATGGTGTGTGGGGCTGGGCACCATGGCTCATGCCTATAATCCCAGCACTTTGGGAGGCTGAGGCAGAAGGATAAGTTGAGCCCGCCTGGGCAACATAGTGAGACCCCATCTCTACAAAAATAAAAATAAAAACATTAGCTGCATATGGTGGTACATGCCTGTAGTCCCAGCTACTTGGGAGGCTAAGGTAGGAGGATCACTTGAGCCCAGGAGGCCAAGGGTGCAGTGAGCCATGATCAGCCATCAAGACTCCATCTCAAAAATAAATGAATAAATGTGTATGGTATAAACATAATTATATCATATAAGGAATAAAGCATATATGAAACTATACTTAATTATACATATACATTTTATCTTAAAATATAACATCAAACTTCTATATCTGAAATTGAAGTCTAGCTGGCATACTATAAAGGCATTTAGTTATGTAGCTTTCATTAATTTCAGTGAGAAACAGGCTCCCAATCTTTATTAATACTTGAAATTTTAAAAACTTACTATCCATCCATCTATCTATCTATCTATCTATCTATCTATCTATCTATCTATCTATCTATCTGAGAAGGGGTCTCACTATGTCACTCAGGTTGGAGTGCAGCGGCGTGATCATAGCTTACTGCAGCCTCAAACTCCTGCACTCAAGAGATCCTCCTGCTGCAGCCTCCCAAATAGCTGGGACTAAAGGCATGTGCCACCATGCCTAATAATTTTTTAATTATTTTTTTGTAGAAACAGAGTTTCACCATGTTGCCCAGGCTTTAAAGCTTACCTTTTAAACCCATGGCTTTGCATTTCAGATACCTGGATGATGACCAGGACAAACTGTTGCAAAGAGAGTGGACCTATAGGGACCTACACACTGACTGACCCACATGGCTGCTCGAAAGGAAAGGAAAATGCATTCTGCCACAGAGTCCCAGCTTCTGTCTCCACAAGCTAAAGAGTCTTCTACAATCCACAAACCTAGCATCCCAGGACAATATATTTATGTTGGTTAATTTTATGTCAGCTTGACTGGGACACAGAGTGGTCAGATATCTAATCCAACTTTACCCTGGGTGTTTCTACATGAGTTTAACATTTAAAATGATAGACTTAGTAAGGCAGGCTGCCCTCTCTAATGTGCATGGGCCTCATGCAATCAGTTTGAATGCATGAATAGAACAAAAAAACTGGCCTTTCCCCAAGGGAGAGGGAATTCTTCCTGCTTGACTGCTTTCAAGCTTGAGCAGTAGTCTTTCTCCTGCCTTTGGACTCCAATTCAACATCAGCTCTTCCTGAGTCTTGGGCCTGCTGATTACAGATCTTGGGACCTCTCAGCCTCCATAATCATAGAGCCAATTCCTTATCATCTCTTTCTATAAGTGTATCTCCTTATTGGTTCTGGTTCTCTGGAGAACCCTGCCTAATACAATATTATAAGTGGAAAAAAAATTTCCCCTATAGAGTCAGCAAGAGGGAGCTGAGGAAGCCTCATTCATCACCAAGGTAAGAGAGGGAAGAGGCCACAGCAGCTAACAACGGTGACACTGTTAGAAAGTATATGGAACTTGAAATACAGTCCGATTGAATTATTCCTACTAGGAGCCTGGAATGGGGAACCAAAAAGGCAAGAGATTAGTATATGGCGGTGGAGAGCATAGAAGGAGGAAAGGTCAGACAAAATAGAGAAGACCTGCTCAAAGATGAATTTGGTTTTCGTTTTGTTTTGTTTTGTTTTGTTTTTTTCCTGAAGAAGTTATTAGGCCAGTGGCAGTGGCTCACACCTGTAATCCCAGCACTTTGGGATGCCGAGGCAGGAGGATCGCTTGAGCCCAAGAGTTTGAGACCAGCCTGGGCAACACAGTTCGACATCACCTCTACAAAAAATTAGAAAAAAAAAAAAAAATAGCCAGGCATGGTGGCACATGGCTGTGGTTCCAGTTACTCAAGAGGCTGAGGCGGGAGGATCACTGGCGCCTAGGAGCTCAAGGCTGCAATGAGCTGTGATCATACCACTGCACTCCAGCCTAGGTGACAAAATGAGGCCCTGTCACAAAAAAGAAAAAAAAAAAAAAGATTTTACTATTCACCCACATTTAGATAGACGCGTTCTTTCCAATCTGTGTGAATTCATGCCACTCCATGCTACCCGCCACCCTCCGGGGCAACAGTTGTGACCACATGGGCAACTGCTGCTAAGTCTCAAATCCTTATCAAAAATGCTAAGTGACAGCTAACCAAGGTGTAGAGAGTTTTGCTCATTCATTCTCGTTGATTTAAATGGCATGCGCTCCGGAAAACTCTTCTGTGGGTTAGCTTCTGCGTTCTTCTCACAACACTCAAGTGTACTTAAAATCACACTTGTTCTGGTTCACAGAGGGAGGAAATGGAGGGTGTCAAAGGAAATACTTGCAGGATTTCAAACATTACAGGATCACAGACATTCTTTTCCAACGTAAAGACATTCCAGGAAAGCCTCAAACTGGTGTAGTGTGTATAGGCTTGTGATGTAAAAGAGAATCTAGGGTTCATTAATTCCTATCATGGCTAAAGACCTCACTGGTTTTACCTGTTTAACTGTGCTCGGGTTTTGAAATTAGTGCTCAGAAGTCTTTCATCCCACTGCCACAGTGTTCCTCACCAAAAGGTCTTCTGTCTTTTGCCAGCTCAGTATTCAGAGTCTTCACAAGAGAAGGCTAATTCTGAAATAACTATGTAGCCTGCACTGGGCTGGTGAAAGTTCAGGGGCCTCATTCTACCAATGGCTTTTCAAGCCTTTCTTGCTCCCACATACCCCTTCTCCTACTGCTTTAAATGTCCTTTCTTCCCCAGGATTAAGAGTGGAATTTCTAGAGACGGACTACACGTAATTAAATAGTGTTTCTGAAACTTCTTAGTTATGTGTGACCTTGGGACAATTATTCACCATGTTGTGCCTCAGTTTCCTCAACAGCAAAATGTGAAAAAATTATAATCCTTAGTGTGTAGGGTTATGAGGACGAACTGAGTTCATGGGTCTAGTTCTTGGAGCAGTGCCTGGAACATGGTAAATGTCAGTAAGTGTTACTCATTCTTCCAGCCCCAACAGGTGGTAGATTGCTTGTAGTTCAAGTATAGAACCACACAGGTTCTAGACATGGGTCCACGGTGGAGAAAGCATCCATTTACCAGCCTACCTCCCACCAAGACTGAGCAAGGATTACATCTTCTTTCTTTTTATGTTTCCCAGCACCTAGTGTGGTAAGTACGTGACACAGAGCAGGTATTCAGTGAATGTAGATTGAGTGCTTGAAGGGACACTAATTCTAATTCTAACGAGGAGAGTATGTCACCTAAGGGATGCTGTTTATGAATAACAATGGCAATGCAGTAAATGTAAGCTCCAGCTAGAAGAACCCTGGTAAGAAACACAATTCACTCTTCTGGGATTTTTAAATAATTTACATTCATTTGCTTTAAAATCTTTCAAATAAGGTCACTTTTGTTTATATACTTGTCATTCTTACCAGCATAGAGAGAGGTAAGTATAACAAAACTAACCAAAGCAATGTTTCTTCAACTCCTGGAGACCAAAATCCTAGAAACTGTCTTCAGCAATCTCAAAAGGTTACATTTAATTTTCAACTGCACATAATATACAATTATGACTATTAAAGAGTCGCTGAAAATATCTTTCCAAGTACAAACAAAAGCAAAGCATCAACAGAGACCCAGGACAAGGCAGAAGTGACGACTACATTATGAAGGGTCAGCTCCCCAAACTCACACATCCCCCGAGAGGAGAAGGGATAACAGGATCAGCACCAGACTCACTCACTCTCCTCTCAGTCACGGTGAGACTTTTGATTTCGGTGTCAAAAAAAAACCCTCTGTGGAAAGTGCTCTTCTTGTGAAAACACCTGCTAAAAAGCAAGACTGAAACAAGGTCAGTCATTGCCCTGGCACACGTTCACTAGTTCCTCAGAATGAGCGCCCTCAAGGTGTTTGGTGGGGGACAGAGGCAGGAGGAGATGGAGACAGACCAACAAGACAGCCAGACACACGCACACATACACACACGCGCACATACACACACACGTGCATACACACACGCACAGACACACGCGCGCATACACACACACGCGCATACACACACGCGTATACACACGTGCGTATACACACGCGCACATACACACACGCATACACACACACGCGCATACACACGCGCGCATGCACACGCGCGCATGCACACACGCGCATACACACGCGCGCATACACACACACGCGCATACACACACGCGTATACACACGCGCACATACACACACGCGCGCATGCACACACGCGTATACACACGCGCGTATACACACGCGCACATACACACACGCGCATACACACACACGCGCATACACACACGCGCATGCACACGCGCGCATACACACACGCGCATACACACACACAGAGTTCTAGTCTCCGCCACAGTAACGCAACTCATTAAATGCCACAGCCTCTCTTCTGTGTGACTTTTGTTACTCCCATGAGGAATAGCCAAAGATTTAAACACATTGTCAAGTCAGATTAATCAAAGCCATATTCTCTAGTTAAGCGTAAAGAAAAAGAAGTCATAAAGGAATTCAAATTTGTTCACATCTTGTAACAGAAAAGAATAGGTGGATTCGTATCTGCTATGGTTTGAATAGGTCCCATCCAAAATTCAGGGGTTGCCAGTGTGATACTATGAACAGGTGGGCCTTCGAGAGGTGACTAGGTCGTGAGGGCTGCTCCCTTATTTCTTGGCCAAATAACATTTCTCACTCAATTAAAAGACTCTGGGAAGATCAGTCTAAGTTCACCTGGCTATTATCTAGAATGATAAAGGCTATGAACCAAGTGAATGAGCTACTCAAAAAGCCAAAATAAAAATTCTGAAGGGCTCGGCTACTTTGGTTTTTTTTTTTAATGACTCTGGGTAGCAGGCACTCAAGGAACCCCACTTACCACGATATCCTCAGGAAATGTGTCTCTGCTGAAGGAGCCATCATCAAACATGACCTCGTAGAAGGTCTGCGACGTCACAGCCATCACTCTGCAACTGTAATACCGGGTGTTCCGATGCTTCGTGATGACCGTCTGTCCCACGGAAATGACCTTCTCGCAAGCCTTGGGCTTCTAAAAGAAGGGACGCGAAAAAGAAAATAAATAAGAGAGAGAACAGGAAAAGAAAGGACATAAAATAAAAAGTATTCATTTGAAAATCAATCATTTATTTCGCCAAGATTTTTAAAAAATTTTTTAACTTAATATTGAAGAATAATTTCAAACTTACAAAAAAGTTGCAAGAATACAAATAGTATAAACAATACTTGTTTATACTATCACTCTTTACCCAGGTTCATCCATTGGTTTTGTGTGTGTATGCATATACAAAGAGAGAAAGAATATGTATGTGTGTGTATATATATACACACACGTGTATGTGTATATCCAAATATATCAACTTCAGGAAACTGAACACTGATAGGATACTTTAATCTCCATCTACACTCCAGTTGGTCAAATGATCCAACAATGGCCATTATGGTATCCACCTTCCCTACCCTCAAACTCCCAAGTACAGAAATCCAGTCTAGACTCAAGTATTGCGTTTAGTTGCCACATCTCTTTAGGCTTCTTTAATCAGGACCATTTCCTCTGTCTTTGTTTATGGCAGTGATACTTTGAAAGGATACAATTCTTCCTCCTCCTGCTTTTTAACAAAGCACGTGTCTTAAGCTTCCTCATGATTAGATTCAGGTTATACATTTTTGGCCAGAATCCCAAATAGATGATGTTGTCTTGTTCTCAGGATATTTCATATGAAGGTACGTGATGTTTGCTTACCCCTCAACGGTGATGTTAATTTTGATCCTGATCAAAGTATAGTTCAATTTCTCTACTTAATTACTATTTTTCTATTACACTAAAGCAATCTGTGAAAGACACTTTTGTCACTATGTAAATGTCCTGTTCCTCTTAAACTGTTTGGAATTAGTGTCCATTGAGTTTCATGCATAATCTTTACTGCAATGGTGGTGTATACTGATTTTTCCTGCTCTACCACCCCATCCACATTTATTATTTAGTTGACATTTGGTAACCAGGAGTCGCCCATATTTCCCTGCACACATCCATCCATCCATCCATCCATCCAACCATCCATCCATCAATCCATCTGTCCGTCTTTATTCATCCATTGTCATTATGGGCTGATGAATTCCTCCTCCCCAGTTGTTTATAGTTCATACTTTACTTTACTATTTTGGTGTTCAAACTGTCCCAGATTTGACCAATCAGAGCCCCCTTCTGGTTCTTGTGATCTTCCTTTTTTTTTTTTTTTTTCTTTTAACCGGCAGTTCCTTACTATCTTGTCTGATAAGATGTTTCAGGATCATCTTGCACTAGTCCTGAAATTAGCCATTCCAGGAGTATAGTTCAGTTCAGAGGGGCAGTGACATTAGAAACTCAGATACAGGTGCTTAGGTATGCTCTTATTTCAGGAGTATCTTTGATTCTCAGTTGTTCCAGGAGATGGAACAATGAAATACATGCATTTAACATGTGCACATTTATGTGCATAAATACACACATGCATATATCAATTTGCCACAAGCACACATATATTGGAAATCACCAGTTCAGAGTGATATCCCTATTCATCCCTGCAGGTTCTTTCTTGCCTCCCTCTATTCTGTATTTGTATCTTCATCCTTTTTCAGCGAAAACGTTGGCTTCTACAATATAAACCCATTTACTCATTTGTTCAATCCCTAAATACACCCAAGTAATTTTGAAGACCTGTAGGAGAGCTGTAGTAATAGTTTTAGACTAGAAAAACTAACACATATGACAGTTCATCTTATTTTTAAATTAAAAATTAAGACTCAAGTTCAATTACCAGCTCATACTGATAACAGCTGGGTTGCAGTCCTTTCCTAAGAATATGGGCATGAGTTGTAGACTCCATCTTTATTTCATTTTCTCCCTCCCCCTATTCTCCTTCCACACATATTCCTGGCATCCTATAAAACCATGTGTAGGCCTCAGGGTATACACATCATGCTAAGGAAACATAAGACTTAAGAACAAATGACTTCTCTCAGAAATACCTGGCAGAGTGATTGGCACATATTAAGTGCTCTAGAAATGTTAGTTTGATGTGTTTTGGGTTGCTTGATTTTCAAGATAAGGCTATAGTCCCTGTTCCCCTTTCAGGAACTCTGTCTACAAAGCCCGTACCTACTAGAAAGAGACTGCAGTCAATATCTAATGCCAAAGTCTGCTCTGAAGACTGGATCTTCTTTATACCAGCCTCAAAGGCTCATGCATCAACTCTGATTTGTTGGATGTCATGAGCTCTGACCTGCTGGGAAGGCCCTGAACCAAGTTCATGGGAAGGTCCAGGCCCTCATAATCCCGAAGGGACCAAAATTAGCCTGACATGTCATCTGTACCTACAGGAAGCTGGGACTCATTAAACCCCAGTATTTTCTTGCATAGATATTTAGAACGCTCCTGGGAAATTCAGTTTATCATCATCCAGAATCACAAGTCAATTAGAGGCTTTGCTTTTGTTTCCCCCATGAATTTCAAAAAAGCTAAAACACACCTTGTAGTGTGCACAGTGTTATGCTTAATCTTTTTCTTCTAGAAACCAAACAAAGACATTCCCAGACAGTCATTCATTGACTAATTTCCTCAACAGTCATCTATAGCTAGCCAGTGGGCACCAGATCTGGTGTTGGAGAGTCAAATATACAAAACCACTAAGGCTGTATTCCTTCCTGGAACAGGCCTACACAGGTATGCGCCATGAAGCCACTTCACAGGTGGTGTGAGAGAAGACTGATGAACACATTCCAGCATGCCAACTGCAGCAGGACTCCTCATTCCTGGGCGTGCAGCAGTCAGAATTAGGGGAAGAACACAATCAAGGACAGAGTGACGGGCATGACCAAAGGCCCAGAAGCAGGAAGCAGCCATTCTGTTGTGGGAACAGCAAGAGGTCTTGCTATAGCGTAGAAAGTAGGAGAAACTAGAGAAATGGCCTAGGGGCCAGGGGTCAGGACGCTGGGAGTGGGGGAGAACCGTTCTTATGCCATCCTAGGGAGTCTAAATGTTCTTCTGTGAACCTAGGAAGCCACTGAGGGGTTTAGATATAGAAGACAGGTGATCCAGGTCTGTATGGCCATAGACAAGGGGCTGGTGGAGCTTAGAGCGACAGTACAGTGGGAGATGAGGATCTGGAGAAAGGAACTGGGGACAAGAATGCTCATGATTTGGACAAAGGGGCAGGCCCCCTCCCAACACACATCTTCATAAGGGTCTCTAACCATCTCTGCCATCTAGTGTCCCACATACCTGACAGAACAAAAGGATACTTTCCTTCTTTCCTCCCTGAAATCATTCCCCAGTGATTAGTGGGTTGCTTGGGAAATTTTTCTATACCTTTAGGTGTGGGTAGGTATGTAAACATTTGACAAAGCACAACAGTAAGAAGCCTGATTTATATCACTATACTTGAAGTAGAAATCTTTAACAGCTAAGTGATAGTATTTAACATATACTGAGATAATTATGCAGTTTACGACTTTACCCCCAATTCATTCCCTTTAAATATATCCAACCTTTTAAAACCTTTTAAACTAAGAGAATGACTTGGATGTAGTAATTAATATGAGTGGAGGCACAGCATGCAAGTGATGCGACTCCAAGATTGGGCCCGTGACAGCTACTTCAGGTTGTACAGGTTACAACTAACTCTAGGAGGCCACATTCACAACCTGTGTGGCCACAGACAGTGGCCCTGAGTGATGTGGATTAGGGATACACAGGCTTCATCTTGGCAGAACTTTCTTGCAGATGCTGCCCTCTCTGTCAAACTGAAACACAGTCATGGTCAGAAATACAAGCACTGTATTTTAATATGGTATTAGTTATTTAGTGTATATTGGAAGTTTTACTAAAAATTGTTTGCCCTCAAAGGGGACAATGTGTTGGGATTTGCATTCTAAGCTGATTACTCTTTCAAGCTGTGTGATCTCGGGGGTGTTACATAACCCTTGTCATCCTCAGCTTCAGTTTGGTCACCTGTGGAAGAAATTATACCTAAATCAAAGTTATGCTATAAAACAGGATGAAGCACAAAGGTTGCCTAGCCTCATCGGTAGCAGACTCTCAGCAAATCCTAACTGGCTTCATCTAGGAAATGAAGAACATACCTGAGACCTTCAGCTCAGGCAAATCAACCACTTTCTACAGTGCCTGAGTCATTGGCATGGATGAGTGGGCAGTACCCTGACTTCACACTGACAAGGATCAATCCAGCCCCAAATCACTGCTGAAAAAACAATCTAGGCACCTACCCTTCACCTCACCCGCTCCAGCAGCCTCTGACCCTACTCTTGTCAAATTCAGGCACACGGCTACGGTCCCTAGGAAGGAAAGCATAATGTGGTCTCCTCTGCATCCCCAGGGCTCCCAGAGCCTTTGTTTACAACTCTCTTAAGACCCTGGCCACATGACTCTTTCAGTTACCATCCCTTTAATGACAGGGTAAACTCTGCGAATCAGTGCCAGAGCTTGTCTTTTTATCCAGAGAACCCAGCACGGTGTCTGTAACACTGTTCCTGACAGATGAACAGTGAATCAATGAATGGATGGATAAACGAGTGGGTGAGTGAATGCGTACAAATTTTCAAAATGGAAGAGGAATGAATTCTATCTGCTTCTGTCCAGAAAAGGGCAAAGAGAAGCAAAGGGGCATTGTAGAGTGATATCCCTATTCATCCCTACAGGTTCTGTTTCTTTGGATTCTCTTTCTTTGGCTGGGTGTGCATGTATGTGGGTAGGGGAAGGGAATAAAGAAAGTTTATGGTGAAATTCACAGGGTCTGGAAAGTAGAAGAGGCCAGCCAAGAGAAAAGGAAGGTGATGCAGGCTTTATAGGGAAGAGGCTGGCTCCAGATCACAACCATTTTCTTCCTGCTTAGAATATGAAATTTATGCAGATTGGCTGGATAGAAAAATGGCCAGTATATAAATTAAATACACAACCTTCATCTAAATAAAAATTCTCAGAAACGTCAGGCATGCCCATTTCATGAGGAGTACTAAGGGAAATGGATTATAATC